ATTTTAATAATGTCTGATAAACAATTTAAAAAAAACAAAACAATAACCTGTTATATGAAAAAACAAACACATAGATTAGGGTGGTCTTAAGTTTATACTTCGTCATTTTTTTTAGCTTCGATGCGAAGCTGAGAAGGTATTAATTTTACCATGATGTGTTTATATATTTTTTTATATTTTTATTGTGTCTGTCTCTACTTTTTTTCAACTCTCAGTAGACCGATTTTTCTCAACGATACGTCAAAAGATCACAAATCGTATCTAGTTGCAGAAATTCCCCTAAAAATTTACGATTTTTAAGGTCGGTAAATTTTGACATTATTTTCATTTTTTTTATCTAAAAATTGCAATAACTTATTGAAAAATAAATGAATCAAGATATGTTTTTTTATATTGAAACCTTAGATATTTTCCTTTCATTTGATATCATTTTTTTGAAAATCTGACCTTTTAACTGCCACAGGGAGTCAATAGCAACTTCTGCACAAAAATTTAATTTTTTCAACTGAAGTTTTGAAAATGCTCACAGGGAGTTATTCAAAATAGAAATTTTTCTACAAAAGTAATTTCTTTTAACTTATGAAAATGTCCCGGAAATACTGCGTTCTTTAAATATATGTCAAATTAAAGTCTACATTATGTTCTATAAATTAAAAAAAATTGTCTCGACTACTTATCTTCTACATGCAAACAGCGCAGTAGTTTATAATATACTATTTTTGTGTTAAAATTTTCAACTTTAAATTGCTATAACTTTTTGAAAAATGTTTAGATCAATATAAATTTTTTTTTCTAAATCCTTTATATATACCCCTTTCATACGACATACTTTTTATTTCAATCGGGAAACGACCCCTTATACAGGGGACGTCTAAAACTTGGATAATACGTATAAAAAGTGGAACTTTTTCAGCTTAACTTTTGAAAATTTCCAGAAATATTGCGTTATTTAAACATATGTTAAGTTAAAGCTTACATTATGTTAGCGTATTTTTATTAAAAAAAATTGAAAATCAGAGCAAGCTAAATAAGATTGGACGATAAATTACTATAACTAAGTTTATGTCAACAAAATATTTGATTACGAAAATATTAAAAATTAACTAATTTATTTAGAGAACTAATTGAATAATAATTGAAAATTTAAAATAAGAGTATAGGCTAGAGGTTTTTATAGTCCGAATTTTAAAAGACTAAACCGAACTGTGTTGAAGCATTAAAAAAAGACCAAATCGAATCATTATATGAAATAAATTTGGACACAAGGTAAGAAATTATATTTCTAAGCATGCCCTAAAAAATTTAAGATAGATTTAAAGTAAGTCAAAAATAATTTTTATCGTGGGAATAATAGAATTGCTTCTAAACGTAGATAATTTAAAAAATTATTATTAACAACTACTTTATCATCATTCTAATCGCTACTGTATGTGTTTAACGTAAATGTTTTACTTGTATTTAACATTCATTTAAAAAATAATTCAGCTATTAAAGCTTGGCGCCCAACAATCGAACAGTTGCTTTTTACGTAAACATACATTGTTTCCTATATACACTACAATCGATAAAAATATAACAAGAATCATAAAATCCTACCACAAAACCATTGCTTATTTCATAGTAGAATTAATATTATTTAGGTTAGTGTCATCCGTGTGTAAATTCCTTTCACTTTACATTTTACGTAAAACCATTTGAAGTAATTTCATTTTAACAAAAATATCATAGGTGCACATACAGAGGTGTCAGGGAATGTTTGTGCTTCCAAACTTAAAATTACCATCCCTAGAAATTTTGAGCAAGATAAAAATTGTAAGTGGGTTATGGTAATAAAAATGTATCATTATACAATATTTCTATAATTTATGAAAGTATTGAATAGTGACTTAGTTATCATATAAAATTTCTCATTATTAATATTCAAATTAATCAATTATTATATCCAATTTCTTTTCAATTATTTATAATATTTTAAAAACAGGTTTTTTTAACTTATATTATATTAAATCTAATACATCGTACATTGAGATGACAAAAATAACTAACCGATATTTCAATTTCTTGAAGTTATTGGACAGTAAAGCGAAAAATCATTCAATTTTCAGTAAAATGACAAATTTTATTTTACTTAGAAACGAATTATCTATATGTAAATGATTTAAAACTAAATCAAATTTAAAGTTTTTTTGTGATGATATGATTAAAATTGATATGATATGATATGATTATATAATTAGAAAAAGAAAGACGTTCAGATGACTTGTATAATGATGAATGATATGATAAATATGAATAATTAAGCGATAAATAGAAAAAAGTATTGTTTAAATAAATAAAAACAACGTTTGAACGAAGCTAACCATCCTAGTCCAATCTTTGAGTGAGTTACTTGTTTGGTCAATACAAATAAAGACTCCCTTGACAAGATAATTAACTCACTTGTGTTTTCTATGCTACTCAAGGTATTTAATGACACGACTCACAGTCAACACAAGTTTAGATAACTACTGGTATGAGTGGTGTTATTGATACTTAAGTATGATAATTAATCACAATAATTTCTACTACAATTAGCTTCGATGCGAAGCTGAGAAGGTATAAGTTTTACTATGATGTGTTTCTTTTTTCTGTCTGTTACCATTTTTGCCCAGCTCTCATCGAACCGAATCATTCAACGATACGTCAAAAGATCACAAATCGTATCTTCTTTCCCGTAAATGGGGGAAATCTCCAAAAAAATTACAAATTTAAAAATCGCTAATTTTCGACATTTTTTCAATTATTTTTTGCTTAAAACTGCCATAACTTTTTTAAAAACAACCAAATCATTATAATTTATTTTTATAGATGCATAATTTCTTTACCTATCATTTGATATATATTTTTTTGTAAATCTCACCCTTTACCTGCCCACAGGGGGGGATTCAAATTGATTAATGTTTTTATAGTATATAAGTTTTTTTTATTCAGTTTAGTTAAATAGGTGACTTTTTGATTATTTTTTATTTTTATAATATTAAAGAAATACTAATTTTATGAATTATTTAAGTAAAAGTATTATATCGACTTTTTATGAAATCTATCATGTTTTATTATTTTCTCAAAGTATAATTGATATATGAAAAATTTTTCAATACATTTTTTATTATTAATAATTTGATAGATCATAGGTTCTACTAGATTCATAGGTTCTAATGCTTTGCATTACTCATCTTACATTTATAAATAAAAAAAATCATAATCTTTATTTTCTATTACTTGTATACAAACAAATAATTAATTTATCTGTCATAACATATACACTGTTGTAAACTAGCTATTACTAGTATATACGTGATGTATTGATTACTGTATACTATGCAACTTATCTTAAAATAAATTATCATGTTATGTTTAATTTAATACAATAAACAAAAAATCACTAAAAGCACTGACAACAAAATCCCATGATGGGGGTAATTAAAAATAATATAAAAAGGCTTAGTTCTGCTTGCACATCCGTGAGCGAGCGTGCCAGCTCTTCTCCACTTTTGAAGCTCTGAATTCAATATAAAATTCAGAATTCTTTTGTCCAGTCTATTCTTCTCAAACTAGCCGCGACTCCGTATTGTCGTCGGTGTATTTTAAGACGATATTAAATATCATTTTTGCGTCAAGACTTTATTTATTTATTTAAAAGAAGTATATTAAATCTTTACGGAAGCTATATAAAAGAAGTAAGTAATTTCATATTAACCCAATTATTTAGAATTAATAATCTGAATAAAGAATGGTAAAGCAGTAGATTGATTTAAAAATTATATAATTTAATTATTAATAACTAGTTAGTGCTTGGTCATATACTTCGACTGGGTGTCAGATAGGAGGCCAAGACCCCGGCCACTTCAAGAATACCTCAGCGTTTAATACCTCTATGAGAGAAACTTAATTCATTTCTTCTTATATCTACTTGTCTTTACTGTTCTAAACCCCCAGACTTACAACCCCAATAAAACCTAGTTGCTCATGAATTGACCAAATCTCCAAATATCCAACCTTGGTCAAAATACACCCCGACATTACATAGTCGATTTTATCTTTATTTTTGAATTACTACACATATTTAAACAAGTAAAATAAAAATAAAAAAAGCTATTCACTATATAATTATTTAAACAAAACTAAAAACTTGATACAATAATAAGCAGTAATGAAAATATTGAACGTTAAGCACTAAGTAAAACCTTTCGAATTTTTCCTACCTAATACTTTCTTATACGACTGAACTAATCTAAAGGGTACTGTGTATAAAATATTTAAAAAAAAGTCTACCTATATAAATAAGGAGCACCCTAGTATATATATTAGTAATACTATCTACGCAATTGGTATACTTGTTAAGGTATTAATATTGCGTTATATCGTAATGGTGCGTACTACAATACTTACTATTACAATACTAATATATTGATAAGTTTCACACCGGAAAAAAATGTCAACAAAATTTAAGAATTGTTATGACAACTGATAAAATTTTTTTTATACTATTATCTTTGAAATTATTAAAATTATCTTGCATTACGGCAAAAGTTGTCAATTCCAAGAACTAAACATATTTTTTAACGCGTTTATTAATTGGATCTGATTTTTACAAATAAGATTATGGCTTTAGAAAATATATAAACTTACACGTTATAAATGGGTTAACTCTACTTTATGTATTATACTACATTAATAACCACTCTGCTTTTTTTTTTACTGTTGCTTCGCGCCACTTCCGTCTCGTTTGGTTAGAGTATACACAAAAAATGAACAGTTGATATAATGACAACTTGATATAGTAATAATTTAAAGGTTTTTAATGTTGTCAAAATGTATTGGATAACTCTGTATAATCAGAAGAATATCTTTATAGCTAATTTTAAGTAATAACTATATGCATCGTTTCAAAAATTTAATTCATGTATTAATGTGAACAGTTAATTAAATTATAGGCATAGAAAATGTAAAATAGAATTTACCTTTGTTAAATATAAAACAAGAAATTATCAACAAAAAAGTTATCAGTTGGCAGTTCTGGAATTAAATAAAATAACTTTTTTAAAGTTAAATTAAACATTTCATGTAAAGTGTATTACTTACCTCCATTTAGCTCTAAAAGTTTTAATGAATTGTAATATGTAATTTTTATTCTGAATAACTAATGAATATCAATCTTTTAACTTGGTGTATAAATATATATATAAAGAACCACCGACATGATTTATTATTATTTTTTATTTTATTTTATAAGAACGTCTTAAGTAAATAATAAATTATAAATTTAAAGTATTTAAGTATTATTTTTAGTCAACATATTCATATACATGTAAAAAAGCTGGTCAAATAGGGATTGTATAAAATTTCCTTCATTTGAATGGCAAACTATTAATAAAAATGCTTTATATTTGTATCTATCAAGATGATATAAAATTAAGCCGTACTTTAAGGATGTGTTAATAATAAAAAATATTCAAAAAATCTTATGTTCATTACATAAACATATATGATAAGTTGCCAGGTACAACAAAGATATTGCTTTTATAATTAAAAATACATGCCAATATAAAATTCAAGTCCAATTTATTGCTAAATACACATTTATTATAATGAAGAAGTTATTTGAATTTTTAATTTCAGCTGAGAGTCGATAATCTAATAAATTCACTAAAAAAAATAAAAATTCAGGAAAATTAGTTTTTATTATGTTTTAGTTTTTAGTTTTAGTTATTATTGAGGTGGACATAATGCCCATGCACTCAGACCTGTTGGTCCATTGTGCGCACCTCATACCGAATTGTCTTGATTCGGTTTACCCACCTAAGTGTTATCACCAAAGTGTTAATACATTACCAACCATAAAGTCACCTCTAAAGATGACCAAAGAGTCCTGTCTTTCTGGCGAAATTAAGTATCTCTCTGGGTTTTAGGTTTTTAATATCCTCTTTTTCAGGAAATGGTTTATTCAAGTAGTTTGATCTTAGTGTGGACAAGGCTTCACATTCGCACATGATGTGAAATGAGTCTTCCTCTTCTACTCCACACTTCCTGCACAATGGTGATTCCGATACCCCCATTGCGTTAAGATGCTTAAGCAGGTGACCATGTCCTGTTAGTAGACCAGTAAGGGTGCTTATTTGATGTCTAGTCATGCTATTAAGATCACCCAGCAATAAACCAGGGGTCTTGATAAAAATTTTAGATTGTCTAGGTACTACCAAGTACTTCCAGATTTTCCTGTGTTGTTCTCTGCACCAATTCTTGGGTAACGCTTTGAGCGATTGCTCAGTGAGCCCTACCACTGGTTCTGGTCCAACATAGGTGTTCTCTGCTCCTTTCCTGGCTAGAAAGTCAGCATTCTCATTTCCAGTGACACCGTTGTGTCCTGGTACCCACGCTAGTGTAACTTTGTTGAACCTCGATAGTGATTCTAAAGTTTCCCTGCATTCGAGGACCAGCTTTGAATTCACCTGATCGTTACAGAGTNTAGCTTTGAATTCACCTGATCATTACAGAGTGCTTTCAAAGCCGCTTGACTATCACCTAAGATACTTATCTTCCTATTTTTGTATACCAGCAGGTTCTGAGCCCCTACCAGTATCGCCATCACCTCTGCTTGGAAAACAGAGGGTGTTGTGCCCAATGACATACTGACATTTATTCGTGGCTTTAAGCCCCAATTCCAGCACCTACCTTTCCTGATTTTTTGGATCCATCTGTATATATCACAAATCGTCCTTTGTCAGTTAGGTGGTTAATATTCCATTCTATACGTGTAGTGATCTCCACTTTGTAGGGAATGTTATTCTTAAGAACCGGTTTGATATAGTCCAAGGGGTATTCTAAAAAGCCCTTGTCTATCTCTTTTAGTATTTTACCATGTTCTGTTGTATCACTCTCCAAAGTCCACATACCTAAGTTGTGGAATCTTAGTGCTGTAGCTTTGGCGTGAGCTTTCACCTCTAGATGCAGAGGAGGCAATCCAATTAGTGCCTCTAATGCGACCGTTGGTGTAGTTCTTAATGCTCCAGTGATGGCAATAGCAGCCATTCTCTGTATGCGACTAAGTTCTTTCCTAGCTGTAATGAGTGCTGTTCTGGTCCACCAGACCAGGGCACCGTACAATATCATAGGTTTAATCACTGACGTGTACAACCAATACATAACTCTTGGTTTAAGACCCCATGTCTTTCCCAAGGCTCTGCTGCAAGTCCACAATGTGGTCATTGCTTTTTTGATTCTTGACTCAACATGTGATTTCCATTTTAGCTTACTATCCAAGATAATACCTAAGTATTTTACTTCTGATTTTAAGCTAATTTCTTGTCCATTCAGAGTAAGAGTGTCCAGTCTGTCTAGTCCTATTCTCTTTCTAGTGAACATAACAACCTCTGCTTTATTTGGATTAACAGATAGACCGTACTTACTACACCATATCTGTATAGTGTTAAGTCTCTGTTGTGCTAAGTCAATAATAGTGTCTGGGAATTTACCCACCACTGTTATAACCAAGTCATCCGCATAGGCTTGTGTATAACAATATTTGTTTAACTCTCTAATAAGCGAGTCCAATACTAGACACCATAGCAAGGGGGATAGAACCCCGCCTTGTGGGCATCCCTGTTTGACACTCTTGATTACTTTGGTCTCATTGAGCTGTCCCAAAATGGAGCGTTCCTTAAGCATGGATTCTATCCACTTAATAATAAGTGGTTCTATTCCACGCTGTTGTGCAGATTCACACATAGCATCGAAGGGAGTATTGTCAAAAGCCCCTTCGATGTCCAGGAATATACCTACTGCATACATTTTATTCTCTACAGCTTTCCCTATCTTAGTAGTTAAGCAGTGTAGAGCTGTATCAGTAGATTTCCCCGTTTGATACGCATGTTGGTTTTCATGTAAAGGGTTCTCCTTAAGAGGCCCCTCCTTGATGTACCTATCAATAAGTTTCTCCATAGTCTTAAGAAGAAAAGAAGTAAAACTTATTAGTCTGTAGGATTTTGCTTCATAATAGTTAGTGCGGTTAGGTTTGGGTATAAACACTACCCTAACCTTACGCCAGCTTTCTGGTTGATAACCATAGGCAAGGCATGCCCTAAATATTTTGCAGAGNTTAAGGTATGCCCTAAATATTTTGCAGAGATGGGGACGATTATCTCTAACCCTTCTTGCAGAAGTGCAGGGAAAATTTCGTCTCAGCCTGCAGCTTTAAAACTGCCAAAGGCTTTTATTGCCCATCTTATTCCACTTGGGGTTATCACTTTCCTGGTTAGTCTCCAATCAGCACAGGTCACACGTTTGTCCTGTGCATCATGTTCCTGTTCTCTGTTGTTAATTGTAGAGTCAGGAAAATGTGTGTTCATCAAATGTGATAATGTTTCATTATCATTATTGGTGAACATTCCGTCTGGCAGTAGTATTGCCTCGACAGTTTTGTTTGGTCCATTCCTTAGTGATCGCAGAAGTCTAGTTGCTATAGGGAGTTGTTGTATATCCCCACAGAACTTCTTCCAGCTTTCTCTTTTGGACTTTTTCAATGCAGATTTGTAGTTCCTTTGGGCGTCCTTATAGGATTCCCAGTGTTGTTCCAAACCTGATTTCATTGCTTTATTTAAGAGCTTACGTGAACTCTTTCTTAATTTAGACAGGTTAGCATTCCACCAAGCTACACCCTGCCCTGTACCTTTCCTTTCTATTAAAGGACAGTTTTCTTTGTAAGCTGAGACAATGGAGTCCTGTAGCATATTTACAGCCCTTTCAGTACTCTGTCTCGACCCCAATCTAAACTGTAGGTTAATCAGGTCACGAGAGAGATCTGCCCTGTATTTGTCCCAGTTTGTTCTTTTCGGGTTCCTATAGTACTCCGTCTCAACTTTGTTAATTTCCAAAGTGAATCGTAAGTGCCTATGATCAGAAAGAGAAGGTTCGGAGGACACTTTCCACCCTTTTATCTTTTGAAGTAACCCTTTTGAACAAACTGTTAGATCAATGACTTCCTGCCTGTTCCTGATAACAAAAGTAGGTTCACTACCTCTGTTCAGTATACTTAGGTCTGTAGTCAGCAATAGATCCATTATAACCTCTCCTCTTTGGTTGATGTTACTGCTCCCCCAAATAGTGTGGTGTGCATTAGCATCCATACCTAGGATTAGTTCTAATTTTTCATTTTTGCAATAATTAAAGAGCATAGTTAGGTCCCTACCTGGGTCTGTGACCTCATATGGTAAGTATCCTGAAGCTACTATGATGTTTTTATCATCATTTAGTGTTACTTTAATAATAGTCAAGTCTGCACTTGATAGATTAAGTATCAGGTTGGCTTTAACTTTATTATTAACCAAAATGCAAGTTCTTGGTTTATCTGCTTGTTTATGAAACAGTTTAAAATCCCTTNTTGCTTGTTTATGAAACAGTTTCAAATCCCTTAGATTTAGCCCCTTAATCTGGTCCCCATTTATCCATGGTTCCTGAATAAGTGCTATTTGTAAGGGTATTGTATGCCTCTCAGTTAGGATCCTTAGTAATACACTATTGGCCCCTTTACTGTGATGCAGGTTTATTTGCGTGAATTGAATTCTATTGTCAGCCATTCAGAAAAACTGATGTTGACGCTTAAGAAAGCACGCTGTACTGGGTGTGATACAGGTGTCTGAAACAGTCCCTGTGTCACACAGCCCCCCCTGTGGGTGGTATCCCACCGCCGTCCCCAGGTGGCGACCGTGCCTTGGGTTTGCTCTCCACATTTCCTTTTGGATACGTGGAGAGGTTCCCCTCAGCTGTCGCCGTTATTGAGGGTGGCGGTTTCCTGGGTCCCTTTCCCTTACGTAACACACTTCCTCCCTTCCCTTTCGAGACAGGAGTAAAGTGTGTCCGTTTGTTCCTTACCTGTGCCTTACCTCCTTTCCCGAGTGGCACTGGTGATTCCTCAGCCTTCCTCTTCCCAGATTTTTGAGGTGTGAATTTTTTCACATCCTTCCGGGCTGGTGGCTGCTTGGCAACATAATCTGTGAAGCAAACTCTGCCCATTCCAAAATATGGACTGCGCTTCAGTTCCTCCAGTTTGACCATGCTGTTTTCGTCCACACTTAGGAACAGAGTTTGTCCTTTCGGGCCAACCTCTGTCTCATGGTGGACTTTCCAGATCGCCGTGTTCAGCCCTGGGTTTTGTTTTGCCAAAATTTCCAAGATCTTCTTGGACTCTTTTGGCAGCCCTGGTATGTGAGTGACCATCCGTTTATACTTGATCGGGTTGTAGGCTTCCAAATGGAGTTCTGCACCGTCCCAAGGTTTTATCAAGTTGACATGGTCAGTGAGCCACTTAAGAGAGCTCTCTTGGGCTGCACTGATCACAAGTGCTCCATTAGTGAGTCTGGTGTCTTCAAACCTTGGTACGTCGGTTCCATCAGTACCCGACAGTATCAAGTCTCCAACACAAGACTCAATGAGTAGCCCCTGCTCTGTGGTCAACTTGTTAGTGGGGTAGCCTGCGAGGACCAGAGCCACTTTTTTATCATCAGTTACCACGTCCCTGTAGGTCGGTACCCAATGAGTTTTCTTACATGGAGGTTCTTGCCCCTTGTCCTCAGGTTTTTGAGCTTCGGTTCCCTTTGACTTTTTCAAGTCATCGGTTCCTTTGTCTCCCTCCTTTGGTAGGTTCTTCTGCCCCTCCATGTTTGCTCGGCTCCTCTTCAGCTTGCGCCTCTGACTGCCGCTCAGTTTCTCAGGTCTAAGTTTTAGGCGTTAAGTTTCCTCGCTCTCTCTTATAAATTATTTTTATCTATAGTTAGGTAAGATTTATTTTATTATTATTTTATAATACTTACAGTACAACATAATCATTTTAATACATTGAGTATATAGTAAGTATGCAGTGCAGGTTGAGCTCGTACTTGATTATAAGGTATATATCGCCTATGTTCCTCTCTATGTATTAAAATACATATAATTCAATGAGTATTTGTTCTAAACGTACTGATCTGTAATTATTTTTTTGAAAGTAAAGGATGGATGTATCAATCAATTTTGTATCTTAAAAAATAATAATAAATAAAAAATAAACATTTGTTTTTAAAATAATGATAATCATTTTATTATAAATAATTTTTAAGTTTTTTATAAGTTACAATATTTTAAATACGTAGAGTGGGTATTGAACGTAGAATATATGTATAATAGTAATGGTGTATATAATACACCATTACTAGGTGCAGTCATTTACACAATAAAATCATTTTATGTATTAAAATATATGTAATATGATAATTAATTGTCCTACAATTGTATCCCCCCAGTAAATTTTTTGTAATGAGTATTAAAAATAGCTATTTTAAGATTTCAAAAAAATTAAATTAATTATTTTTGCTTTCTTAATAGAGACAATTAATAATAAATAACCCAGCACAGGGAGGTCGCGGCACAGTGGTTACGTGGCATAGTTGTGTCAAGTATAATGATATCTGATAGTGATTTTAATCACTATCATAAAAACGCTTCGATCCAAATCTTTAGATAGTGTTCAATTTAAAAAAATAAGAGGGATATAAATATTACTTTTCATAAAAAAATTGTATTGATCCATACACTTTTCAATAAGTTATAAAACTATAAAGTTAATTATGTAAAATATAAAATCGAGAATATTCACACAAATATACCATTCAGTAACTATTTTGACCGTGAAGACAAAATAAAGTCCGAAATTTCTTTTTCCATAATAAAATACATTAAATTAGCTTTTATTTAAGATATATATAAAAGTGTCAGACTTTCCAGAAAACTTCATTTTTTAAAAAAAGTTTTTTTTTTGTGAAGAAGTTGTCATTTTAAATCCCCTCTTGTGGGCAGATAAAGGATCACATTTACAAAAAAAAAATATATATACTAAATAAAAGGTTAAGACATTATGCATTTATAAAAAAAGTTATATTGATTTTGTTGTTTTTAAAAAAGTTATGGCAGTTTTAAGTAAAAAAAATTTGATAAAATGTCAAAAATTAACAGTTTTAAATTTGTAATTTTTTTGGAGATTTACCTTATTTACGTGGAGGGAAGGAAATTTTTCAATTTTTGAAGGTAATGTCTTCGATTAGATACGATTTGTGATCACTAAATGTATCTAGTTAAAAGAGAGACTTATTTTTTTTATAGATTTTTTATTTTTTTATATAAAGGAAAAAATATTTAAGTACTAATTATAAATATTACAGGGTGAGTTTTTACAGCGTTTAATAAAAGTTCAAGAAATATTATAAAAAGGAAAAAATTTTCCTTTAACAAAATAGTTCTAGCTACCAATGTCGTATAGTAAATTGAGAAAATGAATTAGTTGGTTATTCTTTTAATAGCTTTCCGATTTCTCTTAAAATAAATATTTTCATGAAAGGGGATCAGATTTTTTTAACTCGAACCTTTTAAGATTTTGTATCTAACAAGAGTAACGGAATATTTTGTATTTCTCGTACCATAACCGTAGTAAATAAATCCAATCATTGAAAAGTCTTGATACTGTTTGATGATTACACTTGTTTAGCTTGTCATACATATTAAGGCCATGAAATTAAACTTATCTTATTGTCAGTTATTTTTAAAATTTTTAACATCTTAAAAATCATTCAAATAGTTTTTTAAAATATTTTTTATTTAATACTAGAACATTAAAAGAATGATTTAAGCTATGTACATTTTCAAAATTTTGAAAAAATATTCAATTAGATATTTTTTAGAAAAAGGATAAAAATATAAATTTCAATTATTAATGAGTTTTATTTTAATGAAGTTTTAAATTTAACATTAAATTATAAAATTGAAAACTCAGTAATAGAATGTATGGACTGTAGGGTGGCGCAAAAAAAATCGACTTTAAAAATTTTTATCAGACACCTCCTAGATTTATTAAGTATATAAAAAAAAACATGTTTTGAAAATTTGAGATCGATAAAAAAATTTTTACAGGTCGCTCAAAGCGTTTTTCGTATTTTTACCAAAAATACCCCTTATTTATTAAAATATGATTAAAATTCTAAATTTTGGTCAATTATAATCATCTATATATGTAAAATGTTGTATTTTTAACGTAGAAAACGATTTTATAATTTTTTAATTTCTAAGACCTATATTGATTACGTAATTTACCTAAACGTCTAAGTATATGGTACTTTTCGGATCGATCTGAAAGGGGCTAAAATTTTTTTTTAAGTTTTAAAAAATTAATAGTTAAATTAATTGTTGTGTTTATTATATGGTGTAAACATTTTTTTTACTAATAATAAAAATTAATACCTTATTTTCACGTTTTTTTAAAACTAAGTTTTGATTTTATCTTTATTGATTTCTATCAATAAAGATATCATTGTTACGCGGTATTAAGGCAGAATAATAACCATACATGCCATTTATCAATTACATAATCATAAATTTATGATCTACAAGATAGATATCAAACATTAAGTCACCTTTTTTTTGAAGATAAAATTGTTACAGTGTCTGATGTATTGTTCACAAGTAGTTATATATATTTTTAAAAGTTTTTGTGTACCTGTAGATCAGCATTTTCATACATTTTAATTAAATTTATCTCTTATCTTTCATCTAGAATTCACAAATATAAAAATTGTTTAGCCTACGAGAAAGCAGCAGTAAGTAATTTAAAGTTTAATTTTATTATTTCATAAAAATATATAGTGCAATAATTTATAAGCTGAAAGTATTTAATAGTAAATTTAACCTACTTAATTAATTAATAACGGCTAAAGTTTAAACAACTTCATTTTAGTAATTATGGACGGTGCTAAATCAAAAAATTATCAGTTTATTATAACCCCAATTAAGAAGATCGTTGGTAATCGACTTCCATCAAAACGTGAA